CTAATAAGGAAAGACTTAGCCAATTCCCAAAAGGCACGATCAGGTGAACACATGTCACGCAGAAACACAAATCAAATAACAAACAAATGTCACTGTGACAGGGAAGTCCATTTAATGGATGCTTTAGCAGACCAGTAATGCCCTAAAGTGAGGGAGCTAGGAGACAAATTTGATCGAAGAACTCGTACTCCATTTGTCTGAATATCTGAAGCAACGGGTTAAAATTATATCATTTCAGATCTCAAAGCCAGTTAGAATAATCAGAAGGACTACACAAGAAGGTAGAGACCACATGTAGAATCAGCAAGTTATATGTAAGTATGCCCACATCTGATCAAAGTTCATAGCACAATCCTGTACCCGCTTTCCCAGAAATGGCCATATTCACTGGCTCACTGCTCATTAAAGTCTGAAGAACTAAAAGAAGCTACTAAAATGAGAAGAAATAATGAGCGCTCATCCTAAAAATTCAGTTTACTAGAAATATAACAGAACTCAGTTTGGTCATTTGCAGACAATTGAAGTATTATAGTAAAAAAAAGCAATATACAAACCTCAGTACCCTCCCCAAATGATATTGTAATGCTGGGTCTGTCAGCAGGTACAGGGCAATCAGCCAATATTTCAACATCTGGACCTGCTTCCAATATAGCAGGTGCCCGTACAAATACACCACGGCATGTATCATTCCCTCCTTCCTTCTCTGAAAGCTTTGGCACAGATAGCTCTGTCTCAAAGCTTTGAAGCTGCAAGAGAAACAGTCTGCAATGAAACATGGTGTTCATATTTGTGCTTAATAACTACAAATCCTTTAAACATGCAAAACTCAATAATCTAGCCATCAACAGGCCCTATGGTTCCCAAATTTACCTGGCTACCAAAAAAGTTTCTGTGGACAGTACAATCTAGTCCTCCGACAAGTTCCTGCCCCCCTGTTTTTTGCCCTGCAAGTCACGCTATTCAATTATCGCGACATTCTATTAACTTGTTTCCAAAAAAAAAAACATGGCAAGTATAAATTGGTGACCCACTCACCTACTGCTTTGTTTGCAAGAAAGATGAGCCCAGCGCAGGTTCCCCAGACAGGCTTTCCACCTCCGACAAACTCTCGAAGTGCAGGGAACTGCACGGCAAATAGAAGTGAGATTTTGCAAGCTATAAGCAATTAGACAGGTTCATATAAATATACAATCTCAGGCATAAAGAGGTTCAGGAAGTGCAAATGCCATAAAGTGGCACTCCCTAGTAAAACTGTTTCCTGTGAAACTATCTCATGGGAACATGTAATATGCATCAGCATGTAACAGTATCTAGTATCTACTAGCTGAGAAGCCAAGAACACAAAAATTTCCATGATTGAAGACAACCAGCACTGGCCTACAAGGCTACAACCCTTATTCCGTTGGCAGGTGTGGGCAAAAGGATACTCACGTTTCCTATTTAGGATGAGGAAATTTTAATGTAATAAAGTGGGCAAAATTCCATTTCTTTTGTGTCAGTCTCTGTTTCCTAGATCCAGTTATTTCTTTTGACCAATGCAAGGAACCACTATATCCCTGTGAGTCAGCAGTGTCTAGCCTAGGCAGAGACCAAGAGCAGGATGCTCAATATCGTGTCAAACAATTTGGAAGAATATGGCTGTGCAACCAATAATCTGTACTATGAAGGAACAACACCCACTAAACAATCATGCCCTAACTCTAAGTCTGTGCTTCTCTATTCAATTTCCATCATCCACCAAATACCGCAGAGCGATGATTCATCTCCGGCTCGAGCCACTGAATCCGAGCACACAGACAGAGTCACGAGCGACGTCATCGACGAACCAATCAGCATCAGCCACAAACGAGAAGGAAAAAAAAGGAACGAGGAGAGCAGAAGGAGGAGGACCCACCCACCAGGTTGTGGTAGTTGGCGAGCTTGGCCATGGTGGTGCTCTCGCCGCCGGGGATGATGAGCGAGTCGACGCCGAGGAGCTGCTCCGGCTTCCGCACCTCCACGCCCCTCACCCCGATCCTCCTCAGCGCTGCACCGAAACACACACCAGCGAAATCAACCACACGAGCATCTGGCGGGCAGCAGAGGGACATGAAATCGGATTCCGTACCGGCCATGTGCTCGTTGTAGGAGCCCTGCAGCGCGAGGACGCCCACCACAGCCATTGCCCTCCTCCCGACCCTGCTCCGCCGACCACGGGACGCGCGTTCCGGTGGGTGGGTGGGTGGGTCGGTCGGTCGGAGAGAGGCGAGGCGGCTGGTGGAGTGGTTTGTGACGTCACGGGGAGCAGAATGGAAGGGGAGGAAGAAGCCGCACGTCGCCGAGGCGGCGGCGGCCAGACCCACCACTCGGGGATATCGAAACGTTTCGGTGCACGTGCCGCTGCCACGGGGAAAAAAATATACTGGGAGGTAGGCGATGGCCGCTCCTGGCCGTCCGATCGCCGTGGAGCCGTGCGCCCAAGTCGGTGGAGAGATCACCGCCGTCCGTATTGTTGGGGTCCACTGCGGCGGGCTCGTTATCAAGTTGGCGGGCCGGAAACGTTGGTAGGCCGAATGCTATTACGGGCCGGTCGGGACAATGGAAGATGTGCTACAATGCCAACCCAATAAGAAACAGCATTAGTTGCTCAAAAAAAAAAAACCGGATTAAAAAGGCAGGCGAACAGCTCTAGACTTGGGAATAAATGGCATCAGTATATTTTTTTTTAAAAGGAACGACTGCTGTCACCTTCCACACCCTTTGCTGACATCTATATATACCTAATTAATAATAAAAGAGGCAAAATTTCAGCCTATTTTTTTGGTCCGTCCAATTTTTTTTTTGTCCGTTTTCCTCTAACTATCGGACAATGGAGAATTTCTTCCGTCCGGACTTATATATATAATAACCTATGCTCATATGAGTTAGAATATGTCTTGTCTAGCGTGATACGGAGTCCGATTCCAAAACATATTGGGTCATTTATGTGATCCGGACTCATCTTTTTTCCAAAAAAAAACTAAGCAAATTTCCAATACGATTCCTACTCTGACATGGCTCCTTACAGCAGATATTATAAAACAAAAACAAGGAGAGAACCAACGAGACAAAACAAAAAATCAAGCACTTATCCGTCCAGGGTCTACACGACCAGATCGATTCTTCGACTCCAATATAAAATATGTCAACAGAAAAACACATCATCAGGAGAAGCATAATCTTCCAGCAAGGAACTGCTAAAACAATAGCAGAAAAAGGTACATCCACGATGGTAAGTGAATTCTGAAAAAGGACTCTTCAAGTTTCAATACATCGTAATACACTATACATATAAATAGTTTTAGGCATGCAAAATATGATTCTCATTATAGGAATATATACTTTCTTTTCAAAATATCCAATTTTATTTTGCCTGCAAGTCAAATCCGACTCTTAGACTTCTTATTAAGTCGGCTACTTCCATACTTCTTCACTCCCATCGTCCCTTCTTGAGGCAAAACATAATGTGGACAAAAAAAGAACGCAAAGAAAAGGTGAACTGATAGTGAAAAAAACATACGTGCAAAAGAAAACAGAGGAAAGAAAAAAAAGAAACCGAGATGGACATGGTACCAAGACTCGATGGACGGAAAACCAACGGGAAAAAAACAGCACAGGCGTTTTGTGTTCGGATCCATGAAAAATAAATTTGAAACTCGGTAAGAAAAAACAAAAGAGCCCATAAACTCTTTGTGGTTTTTTTTATATTAGGATAAGACATAAGATTAGGGTAAATTCTATTCTTATTCTTATTTATTTGATTTGAATTTGGATTAGGATCCATATAGATATTAGGATCCATGCAGATTAAAGTCATGATATATTAAGAGTAAATATTTTTGTCTTACAATCGAAAAAATCAAGGTTCAACCCTCTCTATTCTAAATTGTAAATCGTTCTGGCTTTTTAATATATATATTTTTTACTATGTATTTAGACATAATGTTTATGTAGAAGCATAGTAAAAGCTATGTATATCAAAAAAATCCGAAAAACTTATGATTTGGGGACAATGGGAGTATTTTAATTCGTTGGACTTAATAGGACATTGCCATATTATTAACTATACTAACTTTATTATGGATGTCATGATTATCATAAAATAAATTATAGCCATTAAAATTTATGAAAAAGGTAACATATAAATAGATATATAACATTTTTTCCTTATTTCCTATTAAGGTCTGGTAGGTTTTTCTTCACCCGTTGCAATGCACGGGCATATTTGCTAATAATTAATAATTCTCAGAGAAGGGTATATTCAGACAACAGTATCCTTCATTAAGATATTTTCACGGCGCATGCCTTGCTTCAGTTCAGTTATTTGTTTTAATATTTATTGGATGAGTATCCGTATGTTGCAACGGGGAGAATACCATCAGGTATTCGTAGATGTGTATTTTTTTATGAAATTTTCCATCGCTGATTCACTCGACTTAAAAAAACTCTATGATGCCTAAGAAACCGGACAGGAGAGTTAATTAGTACGCAACAAATATGCAAAACCGGACAGGAGAGTTAGTAGTAACAAATATGCATTGTCTGACATTTTTTATACTTCCCACTCACATGTGACGAAAAGAGAACTGAGAACAAGACTGATTGAGCACACTGTTTATATAGTGACAACATTTACAATATACGAACTGTTTCTAATCACTAGAATATTCTACTACGCTAGGGGTTAAAATGCTCTTTACAGTTTACCTTTGTGCCTTCCATCAATCTCCTGTTGCAGCATGTCCATCAGTCTAGACGGAAACTTCCATTACCGCCAAACATAATTCTTGTTGTATGTAGGCAAAATTTTAAAAAATAATTGTGGTATTTGTCACCGTGACCGTGACAAATGCCTCATAGGTATCGGTCGAAACATCCTCAGATACACGTCTCTCCAGATGACTCTGCTGCCTCCTGGTAACTCACTCAGGAATACTTCAAGGCAGTAATGGTGGAAAAACCTTAGACATTCTTCAGGATTATTATTCCTCTGCCAATTGTGGCGTGCCAAAAACAACCATCACGTTCACCTCATCAACCACTTTACCCTCCTTGTCAACGAAGATTTCTCCTGAGGTTACATCCATGGCATCAACAGAAAGAGCTCCATCAACTCTGGTGCTCAGCACAGTGATCACCTCAGTGTAGTGCACATTTGGTTGCGCATTGACCTGTGCTTGCATTGCTAGAGTGACACTGCACTTGGATCTTGGTGGCACGATGCCTCTGTCTGGCTCTGTGCAGAAGCGTTCTAGCTTTGCCTTTGTGACGAAGGCGATGTAATCATCCGTATCGTTGGTCAGCTCTATCGAGTGCGATATCTTGAAGTCTTCAAAGGGACTGTGTATTTCCAGTGGCTTAATCCCAAGGATGTCTTCCAAGCAACAATAGCTTATCTGCGAGACATATCAGATATACATGCATGGTTTACCATGGCTTATTGATCCATGCAAATCTAGTGTTGTCTGGGTTCTATTAGGGAGCATATATATGCCCTTACCTGGATTTGGGCTTGGCCATCTGTAGTATCTATTTCCTTCAGCTCGTCTATTATGTCTGATATATCAGGTCTGTCTGTCGGGTCATCTTGTATGCATCTTAGGGCCAACTCGAGACACTTCTTCACTTGTTGGCAAGCCAACGATGATTGTTTCATTGATTTAATCCACCGGTGATTCCACCTTCTAATTGCCTGCCATGTTCACAATTGAAGTACTAATTAAAAAAAATAAAAAGACACACACACCACCATCACCACCATAAAAAATAAAGTAAAACCAAAGCAATTCTCATCTCTAGGAGGTTACCCAATCCCTCAGTGGTGATACTTCATTACTTGGCCTCAAACTGCGACACAAGCATACAGTGGCGGAGCGTGGGAAGAAATTAAGGGGGGGCTAATTCCAGTAGTGACTACGCATGTATTATAAAGGAAGTTCCATCTCTGCATGACAATATGAGCTCAAGTCTCCAACAACCTACGTACAGCATGTGCACAATTGCAGGAACCAGCTTGCTTGCATGTATGCATGCAGATTTACTCCGAGGCAAGGGGGGGCAACAACCCAGTTTCGCCTTAACGTAGCTCCGCCAGTGCAAGCATATCTCTATGATTGAAGGACATGCCCTGGCAGGACCATAGTTATGTATGTATATTACCAATAGCTCATGAAATTCACAGCCACATATATAGGAAGATCTAATCATGCATGATTATGAAAAATGTACAAAGGTGATTAGACCGTTTGTCTTACTTTAGTAATATTGGGCTTCGTTCTACTTCCAGTCACCAGCTCTATAATTATTACACCCAAACTATATATGTCTGACTTGCTAGTCGCTTTGCCTCCTGAAATGTATTCTGGAGCGGTATATCCTCTGCACAATAGTACAACAGTTTGATGCACATGACATAATAAAGAGTTTATACATGTTATGACTGGGAAAGTATATCACCGAAGGAACCGTGGCTGAGCAGTGGGGCCCTGCTGTGCGTGGGCGCAATCACCATGAGGCTGGTGCCTAGTCACGTGAGGTTTAGTTATCAAGAGTCCTAGATTTCAGGGATTTGTTATTCAGTCAGTTTGTTCAGGGATTTGTTATTCAGTCAGTTTGTTATTCGAGTCAGGATTAGATTCAAGTTGTTAGGATCAAGTGTATAAGTACCAAACTCTAGTTGCTTAATGGAAGGTAAGCCTGGGATTGAGACTCACGTCTCCCTTGGGCCCCCAGCCTATTCTCCTGCACATTATTCTCCTTCCCATCTACTCGCGAGAGCTCGACGCCGGCCACGGCACCTCCAGCTCGCCGGCATCTCTTCAAGCCACGACCTCCAGTCCACCACCAGTATAATCTCAGGAGCCGAAGCGCTAACAATACATATGAAAGAATTTGGAACTTACGGTGTTATGAGACGTGTAGTTGTAGCATGTGAGTCACTTTCGAGTCTAGATAGACCAAAATCTGTAATTTTGGGCACCATGAGGTCATCTAGTAGTATATTGCCTGGTTTGAGATCCATGTGAATGATTTCCTTATCCTTGTGGAGATAATGCAGACCCCTACAAATTCCGATAATTATTTGGTAGCGTGTTTGCCATTCGAGTCCCCTCAATTCATCTGAAGAAATAAAAGATGAAAACATAGTATTTTAGAAGGTGGTAGTCATCAATAATTTATTTATGATTACTAAATGTTGGTGCAAATCTATACCACACACCAATATGCTACCATGAACATCCCTGCAAAATCTAGCTTAGATGGTTTGCAAAGGGAACCTATTGAAACCTATGAATGCCTCTAGAGGAGGAACCCATAGGGGAGGCTCTCCTCGGGATGTTTTAGGGTCGGCAGACCACCTAGAATGCCAACCACCATCAAGACAAATGATGAACATCAACTAACGAGGTTGGAAAAGCTAGAATTTGGAAAATATAAAAATATTGGATTGCTATGTGTTTGATCAATTGGATATCCTCAATTGGCCATAGCCCATTATATTTATAAGGTTGGGAGGTCTTGCAACGCTTGGAGATAGTTTACATGTCAAATTATGTGTGAATCTCCAAGTTCTACTTGGACCAGCCAAATCCAAGTATCCAACCTTGTGAATATACCAAATCCGGCCTGGCCGGATTGCCCAGCAAACCTTTACATTGATATCAAATTGGGACAACACAAAATTGTTTATAGACAAATATTGGATACTTTCGTTTTATGGTCCATATTGTTGATTATTAATTGAATTTGTCTTTAAAAGTAGTAGACGAAATAGGGATGCTGATGCGATTAAGGAAATAAGTATATATAAAAAAGGGCGTACCCAGTGCAGAGAGCTCTCGCTCTGTGCGGGGTCTGGGGAAGGGTGTTAGTGGCAAGCCTTACCCTCGCCTGTGCAATGCGAGGAGACCGCGACTCGAACCCGGGACCTTCCGGTCATAGGCGGTAAGACTCTACCGCTTGCACCAGGCCCGCCCTTCTAAGGAAATAAATATATATATTCATTTTTGATAGAATATATACTTAAGGAAATAAGTATATATTCTATCAAAAATGTGGTCCTGTTGGGATGTTTGGTCTGACAAACCATTACATTCAAGATGAGATAGTCCAACATAAGTTCATCTTATGAATTGTAGTAGAATGACTCCATCTCCATGCTTATATTAATTTTTAGATTGTGAGGGACAGGATGGCGGTGGATTAACTTTTTATATTCCATAAAAAATGATGAGTGAGAAGATAAGGAACCACACACTATTTCTCAAACTAAATGGCTTTTAAGTGATCACTACATTAATGTACCTGAAAGATGTTGGTCAAGGCTGCCATTTCTTATGTATTCAAAACAGAGCAACCTTTCTCGTATATCGGCCATTATAATTGTTCCTCCCCATGGTATCGCATGTTCTTTTGTAAAAGAACAGTAACCAAGAAATCGTACTATATTTGGGTGCTTAACCGAGATCAAGCTTATAACCTCCCGATGAAACATCTTGTCTTTAATTGTTCGGCTACTGTGAAGCCTCTTTACAGCAACAACCCCATTTCGAAGGATGCCCTGTTTAAATCATCTTGTGAGCACAAACATAAGCATTACATCAAATTTTTATATGCGGTGAGGAAATTTGAAGGTCTGGTGGCATAAAAAAACTAAATTACCTTGTAAACAATTCCACATCCGCCGCTACCAATTTTTTTCTTCTCAGAGAAATTTTCTGTGATGCTATGTAGAAGTGCAAAATCTAGAGGGCTTGGTTCCTCACTTTCATTAACTATGCGCTCTAGGATGTTGAGCTCCATGTATCTGTCATGTATTAAAAATAAAGAATGTGTTATGAATTTTAGACAAAGGAAAAATTAGCTTGATTATCGAATTGAACATAATTGCAATCAAGGACAACATTTGTTTAAAGTAAAAGCAATTGCTGATTGATTTTTGACTGGTAATGATATGCTGCATCAGTGCATCACTGCATTTTCATATCTAACCAGTTGTGATGCATGGGGATGATGTGCCATTATCTAATGGTCATCCTAGCATTGCAATTATGTTCATCTAAAACTTTTTAGGGGCAAGCAATGATGATTGTACCAATTTGGCCTAGGTCCAATTGAACAACAATTGCCAGTAAGGCATCATTTTACACATCTACTTGTAACCATCATGTAAATTACACAGTGAATGTTATCGGGTTAATCAACTTTACTTTGAACGCATTCAGTTAATCAAGTGGTACTACCCATACAAGTCAGGCTATGCAGAAGCACTTCAATTCAAGGCCCAACAATGCAATTTATAACCTGGGGAGGTACACTCCCAATCATTTATTCACAGTGCAACCTGGTTCTTGAAGCAATGTACTTGAAGGAAAATATAAGCGTAGTCCAGAATGGAATTACAGATCAAAAAGTCAAATGTATTGATATTTTAATGTCATCAAGTCATGCTGCTAATTCTAAACAAGCATTTAAATGTACATGAGGTCACAAGAGAAGTCATGATTCTAATATTATTATGGTCATGTTTCCTTATGCAAATGGAATTGCCTGGTACACACATCATATATATTAGAGTAGCTTACTTGCAAAGTTTTGCAGTATCTGAATACATGCTCTGGGCTGCATCCCCTTGTTTGAAACCATCAAAACTAGACCATTGATCATTGCCTGCTACACCAACTTCAGTATTTAGTTGTTTTGCCATGGTCGGCACAGTGGTTGAGTTAGCATTCAGAGATCCATCCTTACCTGAAATTCTACTATGAGAGACAGGGACCTTGTCAATGTTGGAGTTTCTTTGTGATGATGAAGAAAGAGGCTCAATTGGCGAAGTCTTCATAGCTTGAGTGGTCTGCTTCTTTTTTTGTGAGACTGAAGCCTTTGAAGAACTTGAAGTTACAGCTGAAGTTTGAATATAGGCAACATCACTAGCAGGTTCACTAGCAGGTAAAAATGAACCATATCCACCAAATTTCGACCCTGTCAAAGATTAAAGTTCTGCTTAATGTTTATCTATAATGAACCCAAATCAAGCTGATACAGTGACTGTTCACATATCCCCACCTAGATTCTCTGCAGACACGCCTCCTTCGAAATCTTTCTGAAAATGGCCAAGTACATCTTGAAGTTTTTCGTCCTGAAACATGCAAACCATAGGATACAAAGAAATGTTACAGCAAAATTGACTGGTGGTACGGTATACAGTATATAATCTTAAAACCAAAATTGCTGTCTTGCTTGTGACTTCCTTTCAAGCTGGAGTCACCCTAAAGACGGTGAACTGCATGAGACAAGGCTAGAATTACAGCTACTCCCTTCAATTAACCTGAATATGTCATTTTTCAAATAGACTAAAAAGTATGCTACCGTTACCAAAATTTGGTCAAGTATACAACATTCATGTATCTTCTTTCTCTTAACCTTTCTTCTGGACAAACAGAGTTTCATATACAGCATGTACTTCGCGTTAGAAGTTTGGAGTTACAAGTGTATAAAGATTGACTTGAGCTCAAAACAAGGACAGGTCTCGGTAACACATGGGAGCATCGTAGACCGAAAGGCGTTACAGGATCTACCGCTGCAAAAAAAAAAAAAAAAAAAAAAAAAAAAAAAAAACACTCTCAAGGCAAGGAAGCACACGATCCCACCGTCACGACTTGCAGAAACTTATCCAAGTAGGACAGTAATACTAGCTGTATGACTTTGGTATTGTAGTTGAAGGGAGTAGAAACGGCAGGAGGATAGATAAGACTGATCCCCCACCGTACCACACTCAAAACTGGCGCATTCCAAAAATAAAAACCTTAAGTGTAATCTCACATAGAGAGCAGCCAAATCACTAGTGGGTACCTAACAAACGCCAGGACAAACCAAGAGAGCAGATTTTCTTTCCATTTCCATTTCCATTATACCAGCGTCACCCATAGTACTTACTTGACTAATTTAGCATCCTAACCTCCAGGCAAGTAACCAAGTGAGGAAAGAAAAGAGTAAATGACCCAGCAACGCAATTGCCTGCTTCCTTCCAGTTGTACCCCATTCCTATCAGCCAAAACAACAGATCGAGCAGGTTCCTAAGTGATCCAGCTAAGCAATTGCTTGTGGTGGTAAAGTACCATTCCTCCGGTCGCATGAAGCAAGGGAGAAACCGAAACAGACCACTTAATTCGCTTTCTATAATAATCGGAGCTACGAAACAAGCGACAGCACTAAATCGGACGCGCGTCTACCCGACCGGACGATGCGGGCAAATGACCTAGAATCAGTGCAGCGTGCCCGGAAGCAGGGACAGAGCCGCGACATTGCTGGAGGTGGGGCGAGGCGTGGCGAGAGCGACTCACAATGTAAGAGAACGCGACGTCGGGGTCGACGAAGGAGGTGTCGTCCCCGCAGGCCTCCCCCTCCTCGAGCTCGGCGTCGTCGTCCATGCGGAGTCCGCCACGGGGCTGCTGCGCCTGCGCTGCTGCCGCTACGCGGACGCCCGCATCCTCCTGCCGCCGCCTCACGGACAGCATCCACCCGGGTCCACCCCGCCTCGCCTCGCCTAACCACCTACCCTCTACCACCAGGCAGCAGCTCCCGGCGGCCCGGCGCGGAGGCAGGCGACCTCAGCAGGAAGGGCGGCCGCCCCGCGCGAGCAGAGCAGGGAGCGAGCTCGAATCGGAGCAGCACGAGCTCCCCGATCGGCGGGATCTCTCCCCCTGCCGCGCCCGGATCGGCGAATCGAGGCCTCCGGATTGGGGATCGCGAGATTCGGACGCGGGCTCCCTCCCTCCTTCACTCCTTCCCTCCCAGGCTAGCCCTCGGTCTCTCTCCTCTTTCTCTGTCCTGACCCCCTTCCCTTGTCTGCCTCGGCGTCTCGAGGTTTCGTCGCACGCGGGAATAAATTTTAATTTTTAATTGGTCTTGCGGAAGCTGGCGAGCCAGCCAGCCTTTTTGCGGCTGCCTCCCTCGGTACTCGGTAGTCTTCTCAGCCTCTCTTGCGTTCGCGTTCGCGTTCGCCTCCCCTGCCCGTTTCTGTTTTGGTAGACCTGGCTAGCTGGGTGGCCTGGACTGGACGCCTGCTGGGACGGGACAGGCGGCGGTGGCCAGCCTTGCCGGACGCTGGTTTTCTTTTCTGGGCTGCTGCGCGGCCCGCGGCTCTTTTTTTCCCCTTTCCCCGCGGCTTTTCGCTTTGGGCCTGGTTTAATTCGCGAAAACTTTTCCCAAAAAATGCTACAATGACTATCACATTGAATCTTGCGATACGTATATGGAGCATTAAATGTAGACGAAAAAAACTAATTGCACAGTTTGGTTGGAAATTACGAGACGAACGTTTTGAGCCTAATTAGTCCATGATTGAACACTAATTACCAAATAAAAACGAAAGTGGTACAGTAGCCAAATTTCCAAACTTTCGTGCGACTAAACACTGCCTTGGTCCTGAGGAGGAGATCGAAGCAGCGAATAATTGGAATGTCCGTTCGGCCCTTGGGTCTCTTGCTTGCGGTTGACGGCGTGACGGCTGGGCTGACGCCTGACAGGAGGTGAGGATTTTGGTGCACGTGTTTCTTGCTTAAGGCCACGTTTAGTTCGCGAATTTTTTTGGATTTTGCAACTGTAGCACTTTGTTTGTATTTGACAATTAGTGTCTAACATGGACTAATTAGGTTCGAAAGTTTCGTCTCACGATCTCTTACCCAACTGTGCAATTAGTTTTTTTTCGTCTACATTTAATGCTCCATGCATGCGTCAAAGATTCGATGTGATGGGCAAAAACCAATTTTTTTTGGAACTAAACGTGACCTAAGTAGACTTAGAGTGCGGTTAAGCGTTGCAACGGCCTCCTTTGTAGCTTCTCTCTTTTTTCCGCCCTGCTACTAGCTGTAGCTGTAGTATCTAAACTCACCTCACACACACAAGTTGTGTCACACACGCGCTTATACACATCCTGTGTACAGGTTAAACCTGCACAGATAGCTAAAGGCACACGCACGGCTATGGTCCCGTTCGGCTGGCTGAAACTTGGCTGAAAAACACTGTTCCAGCTAGTTTATTGTGAGAGAAAAATACTGTTTGGCTGATTTGATGAACAGTAACCTGAGAGGTTGATTCAGCCGGCTGGCTGGTCTCGTAAGACCAGCGAACGCACCGTATATCACTAGACTCAACGTTGACAGGTATGACACCTTAGTCATTATGGATCATCGGAGGTTGAGACTACGATGAAAATGAAGAAAACCCTAGTGCGAAAACCTACGGGGCAGATCTCGAACACAAATTGCGAGTGCTCTACTTAACAAACATGACCGCTTCGTGCCGACTCAAAATAAATTAAAAGTATCAGTACTGATGGCATGTCACCACAAAAAATATTTTTAAAGTATATACTCATTTTATGTCATAAATGTTACGGATTAGTTTATAATGTTGATTTAATTTTGGATGGAGGGAGTATATGGCATTAGCTTCTATTTACTCCTTTTATTTAAACACCGGTGAAACCAAACGTATTGTCCAGTACAGTTAAAGCCAAACCTATTGTCTAGTACAGTTAGGCTGTTTTCTAAGTCGTCTTTTACAATATTTTTTTTTAGGCATCCATCTTGTGAGTTGAAAATTTAAGGCGATAGGACTAGTCGTGCAACGTGGATGTTACCATGCAACTTACTACCACCGTCCCTAAAAAATATAATTTTAACACAGTGTCACGTTTTAGTACCTTAAGTTTGATTAATTATTGATTAAAAAGTATCCATGTTTATAATACTAAATAAATATCATCAGATTAATTACGAAATGTATTTTCATAATAAATTAATT